TCCTCACATGTTCTCTGCAACTTTAAAATAATTAAATACAGACATACATACATAACACTTCAGTCTGGCTCACAAAGGCCCTGGACTCATTTTTCAAACTTTCTTTTAGCCTAATTCATAGAAGTGCCTGTATTACTGGTGCTGTTTATGTTGCTTTGTCCCATTGGTGCATGCTACCTGTTATCCAGACCCATATGCGTCCTGACAAAAAGACTGTTGTTTTGGATAGCCTATCCCATTTCACAAGTACAAGCTGGTAATTGTACATTTTACAGACAAGGAAAGTGAGATACAGCAAGGTTTACCAAAACTGGCTCCGTCATACACACTGGCGTCCCGCCCCCCCACCTTAAGCACACCCTGCCAGGCACAAAGAATGATGATATTGGGCAGAGACCACCTTGAGCTGAGGCTGGAAGGACAAAACGAAGCTGGCTGGATGACACTCCAAGCAGCCAGGAGTGTCAGGCTGAGAATGAAGCCGGCCATCCAAGGCCTCAGCACCCTGCTCTCAGGCAGATCACAGTAACCCCTTCCAGCAGCTTTAGCACTCGTCCCTCTGCTTCCAGCTTGGGCAGGGCCCTCATCTCAGGTCTCCACAGACACCCTGGTCCTATGCTGGGCCAGTAACCGATAACAAAGTCATGCTAGTTGGGTGGGTATGAAGAGCGACTAATCCCATCCCTAGTGACATGTACTCTGCACCAGACACTGGGCCACATGCCTTTTAGGGACAAAAGGAGCTCTGGAACAGAAGCAACCATGAGCCCTAGCATGGACAGGCACACAGAGCCTGGGGCCCAATCCTGAGATAAGGAAGGAGTGTGTGTTGACCTATAGGGAGAGAGCAGAAGCACCCATGGCCCTGGGAAGAGCCTCATGCGTGGGTGCCCGCACACTCCCACAGAAACACCCACATATCTGACATGTAGGTGTGCACAGGCCAAGAACAACCCACTCCCCTCGGAGCCCACACACTTGGACACACAGCTCACAGCCCTCTGACTTGTGCCATAAAGGAAGTGGGTCTGATCAGGGAAACACTAGGCTGGGTTCTGAGTCACCATCCCAGAAATGACCCTTTTCAGTTCTGGAGCCAAAACCCCTTCTGGGAAAGGGCGCCAGCCCAGGCAGGGGAACTGGGACCAGGAGACAACCTCTCCAGAGGGGAGGCCAGAACCACCCCTTCCAACCCTCTTGGCCTGGCCCTTCCACTGCCCAAAGCCAGCCCAAGCAAAGGTGAGGTCTGGTTAAGAAAGAGCTACAGAGCATCCTCCCAACCACTGACTTGAGACCAGACGCTTGGGGGGTTGCTGTTTTTTAAACAAAACAATATTTATTGACACAGCCTCAACGTTCTGTATAAATATAAAGTGCTAAGTTTCCAACCCTCGCCCACAGGGCTGGGAGGAAGTGGTAAATGTCAGATGAGCACAAACAACTTTCCAGCACCAGCACAGGCATGACAGGTTCACAGACATCCAGGCATACCACGAACCCTGGCTGTCACAGCTTGTTCCTTGTAGCTCTCGGGCTGCCAAGGGCTTCAACATGGCGGTGGACCAGAGAGTCCATGGTGTAGAGTTCAATTTCTGCCAGAGGATGGGGGAGGAGGGGGCAGACACATCCTCCATTCCGTCCCCTGAGTGAGGGCCAGCCCTCACACCCCTAGCAGAAGAGCACCAGGTCAGAAAGGCCAGCACTCTGGCACTCCGAGCTCCCCCACTCTGGGGTTCTCCAAACTCTGTGGAGGCAGCTAGGCGGAGGTAAGGGCAATGTGCTGGGCCAGAAGAGAGCCCACCTGTCCACAGCCAGCTCCCCAGGAATCGGGGAGGGCCAGCGCCATGGGCAGAGCAGGCAGAGGGGGCCCTCCCTCAGTGACACAGCACCTGTGTCTCAAACTGCAGCAGCTGCCCCATGAAACTGAAGTTGGGGGAGATGACTCCCCGGCGTTGCTTAACAAAGTCAAAGGCCTCGTCCAGCCGCACACGGCGACTCTGCATCAGGTATGCCAGGCAGATGGTGGCGGAGCGCGAGATGCCCGCCTGGCAGTGCACCAGCACCCGGCCGCCGCTGTTCTTCACTGAGTCTGCAAGGGAGATGAAGGAAGGTGTTAGACAGAAGGGATACAAGCCAGGAAATAGGCTCCCCCCAGCCCCCCCTCCTGGGGCTCCCCCAGATCCCCGGGCCGAGGCCCCCTCACCAATGAAGCCTATGGCCTCTTGGAACCAGGCACTGATCTCCACCATCTGGTTGTCCTCCACAGGGATACTCTTGTAGCGGAAGAGGCCCTCAAAGTGGTTGGGGCAGCTGGCAGAGACGTTGAGGACAGCTGTGATGCCACAGGCCTGCAGCCCCTGCAGGTCCGAGGAGTGGCTGCAGCTGCCCAGGAAGAGGTAGGGCAGGATCTCCACAGGGCCACCCTGGAGCGGGAAGAGGGGTGGCGGTGAGACCTTGAGCACCGGCAGGGCAGACGTCATGGGCTGGGAGGAACAAGAGTAGCCCTCAGCCAGTCCTCCGGACCCTCGACAGGACTCAGGAATGGGAGGACGACACAGTGGGACACACATGCTAGACACTCGGATACTCAACCCCTCATATACACAAAAATCCAGAGGCACACGTGAGCAGCCATACTCCACACGCATGCACACAAACGCGTGCTCCATCGGCATGCGAACACACACGTGTGTTTACATATATATGTGTGCATATAACAAACTCCTCGCATCCACAGATGAGAGAGTCTTTCCCCAGAGGCGCCTGACCTGCGGGGGAGGGGAACAGAGGAGCCGTGAAAAGGAGCCGCGCTCTCACCTGGTCGTAGGCGGGAGCCCTGGGGTCGGAGCGGCTGTCCTCCGCCCCGGCAGGCTGCGGGGCCGGGGCGGCGGCTTCAGAGCACAGGTCGGGACAGCAGGCCTGGAAACCATCGAAGCCTCCTGCGGGGAGGAGAGGTCACGGTCAGCCCGGGCGG